AGCTCACTTAAACACCATTACTGTTAAATTCTAGATAGATACAATTCTGTGGAAATTATGTCCTGACAGAAATAAAACACAGATTTGGTTCTCACTTGTTGTGGGGGAGGCGGGAACAGATGGCTCTCAGATCCTCTATGGAAACAATATGACACGTAGTAAACGCTCAAACACCACTCGATGGAACAATCCACGTGACAAATGTACAATCCCACCAACAAAACAGTTACTTATCTAACCATCGATGGAAATCTGTAACTTTTCACCCATTTCCCCGTGCAGGTCTACAGCAATGAAGGTTTTGAATATAGCAAGTTATGTGAAAGCCTCATAATCATTTTAATAGCGGAAAATGTACCAGTGAGGAAACTGTGATGCCGCCAGACGTCACCAAACATGGTGTAAAATGTACAGGTTGAATGAACGTGACACAATAAGCCTCAATAGATCTACAATTCCACAGAAGAGTAGAGACTAATATTAATGATTTGTCAATTTAAAAAATACCACATTTAAATATAGACATTTCCTTAAATGTTTGGTTCAGATTTTGTTGTTGGAGGACAGTAAGGACTAAAAGGACAGAGAGATAAACAGAGCTGGATTGGAATATCTCTTGCTCAATTTTTAGTAAGTGGAGGACAAACTCCAGTTCCTACCCACTCCTATATTCCTATCCACTACCTCTCCACCCCCCATATCCACACTCTTACCTCTCGAGCAGAGCAGGGCTCCATTGGCCAAGGCCACCTGCAGGGCCTGTGCCAGCCTGTCCAGGGTCAGCTGGGACAACGTGTGTGTGTCTGCGGAAGACGTGTGCGTATGTTTGTCAGCCTGGTCCAACAGTCTGGAAAGGTCAGAGGTCAGCGCAGCCAAGGACTCCAACTGGAGCAGCGCCAGACGACCGAAAAGCCCCTTCTCATTTAGAATATTTGGCAGGAGCATGAGGACCTAAATGTAGCAGATTGACAATTGGATAACCTTCACTTTTTTGTACACTAACATGTAAAGTGAGTTCCAAATGTTCCAAAAAAAGTCTCAGACTTGATTAGTATACTGCACATAAATCTGAATTTAAAAACACACACATACCTGTAAAACACTTAGGTGAAGAGCAGAGAAAAGAGGCCCCATCTCTTGCTCATTCTCAGTGCTGCCATTGGTCAGCACCTGCTTCTTGTCTCTCCTGTAGGTCAGCGGTGCTTTGACGCACCAACGCACCAAACCCCCTAAAGGTGTGACATCAAGCGAGCTGATTGGCTGGCTGCCAGAGAGGGGTGTGTTCAGGAAAGTGATCAGGACCAGACGAGGGTCATCTTGGATCCACGACACAATCATCTGGAGGAGTTCTAACGGAGGGGTGAGTTCCTCTACACACACACACACACACACACACACACACACACACACACACAC